GTCCTTTCCAAAGAGCCACTTCGGGAACCATACTTTTTCCCATGGCGACTATGCTTGATATCCGCTTTCTTGTCACTTTCCTTAAGCCACGATAAAAGACGAATATCTTTGCTAGATGGTGGCGCGTCACTTACAACACTAACACCACTGTCAGTTAATTCCGTCATAGACTTCTTTGTGGCTGATCTTCTAGTCATGTCCGACCTTCGGAATCGTTGATCATGACCTAATAAAAGGATGTAATATAATAATAAATAAAACATATATAAATATGTAATAATATTTTTATATTTATTCTAAAATATACCTTGAAGATACAGGTCCTGTTTATGGAGGGAATCGGCGTAATCAGATGGCACGGATTTAGATTTAGGCAAGTGAGATCCTAGTGAACTCATGGAGCCAGCTCCGACAAGATCGCTGCCTTCTTGAAAATCATGAATATTACCACTATCTGCTGAAAACGTAGAGAACACGTCTTTTTCTTTTCTTTGTTTGTACGGTCGTGGATAATTGTGCGTAGAACGTCTTCTTTCAGGCGAATGCAGTCTTGGGGATGAGAGTCCAGGAGATCGAGAAGGCGTTAGATCTGACCAAACTCGTGACACGTGTTGGTCCAAAATTGCTTGATCATTATCCTCTTCTATCATTAACTTTTCTCTCAACGCATCAGCTAGTGCTTTCGGTGCTCCACTTGACATTTCCAATGATGCATCTTTATTAATCGTATCGCTCTCTTGCAAATGCCTATCAAGCTTTTCCTGAGATTCTCGTTCGCGTTTAACGTTCTCCAACTTCTCAATAAGCACTTGAGCAAATTCTTCCGGTTTCAGAGGATGCATTAAATCACGCGGTACTCGCTGTGTACGAGGGATGATAGTATGATGCGCCAGCGGATCACGATTTAAACTAGCTGAATCTTTAATAGCTCTAGATTGTCTTATATACTGTTTTTTACTTCGTTGTTTATTCATTGACGCTCCATCACTGCAAATAAAAAATATTAAGGTAACAACAAAATTTTACGTATGTACTTGTATTTAAATGATAAAATATAAATTTACTTTCATGTTTGTTTTAACTTTAAGAATTCAAGCGCTATTATTTTTATATCTACACTACAACAAAATATTGCAAAATCTAATATCAAAGTATAAATTAATATAATGTAAAATAATAAAAAATATAAATTCAACCTGAAAAAAAAGTAAGGCTAAACACTACTTTTTAGAATTTTGTAAATATTTAAGATGTTTATTTACAAAGAAAATTATAATTTTTATAATAAATAAAATAAGAACGTACACTGATGAATCGGTGAGAGACATATTGTCTGATTCAGTTCGTGCATCACTGCTCAAGCTTTGAAGTTCTGAATCCTGTCTGGAAACTGGATTGTATGAGGAATATTGTGCGTGCAGTCTGGGTGCGAGCATATGATATGGACTAGTCCCATGTTGCAAGTAAATGCTATGAGCGCCACGCAATATATCAAACCAAAATAAAGAAAACAAACAACAGATTGGAAAATGTTTTGGCAAACAAATTTTAATACATATAATGACAAACAAAAATTACGATACTCATATAAAATAATATGCTCCTTTATAATGTGATATTTTTAGTTATTTTTTAAACTTTGGGAATGCTGTGTATATAAATCATTGTACACTACAAGACATTGCAGAAAATCCACACAACAAGCTCAAGAAAAAAAAAAAACAGCTAAATTAAGCGTTTAATGCAAATCTAACTTTAAGCGTACTCTAATTAATAAATAATCTAAATAAAAATTATAATTATATAAATTACCCAGCATATGCTTCTGGCTTCGGCCGAAGATCCATCGCCCTTGTTTGTTGAGTAGCCATAAGCATATCTTTGGTCAATCTCAATTCACCCCTCAATTCCCCAGGCGTTTCACTAGCTGAATGTGAGCTATGTATGGAACTAACAAATTCACTGTCTTCGTGGACAGTGGGCAATAAGCTTGGCCCACAAGCAACAGACATATCTCGACTGGATCCTGAACTAGGACATCCACCAGAATCTGGGTTTTGACAGGACTGAACGTATTGAAGATACATATCGGATCGAAGAAAGTTTGGATATGTAGTCTCATTAATGAGACGTTCAACTTCCAACTGTACAGCATCAAATACTTTTTCGTCCGCCCGCCCTTCTTTAACCCGACGATTAGCTTCCTTTCGTACATCTTCTGGTATAGCTAACTGTGACTTAAGGAAGAACTTTCTGTAGATAAGTTTAACCAATTGATTTATCCTTTCAGGATCATCTTGTTCCTTGAGGCCCTCACAGGCGAACCAGAAATTAAGAGGATTTGCATGAGGTCTGCCTTCTTGATCCAGATATTTTCTGAACAATTCCAAGCCCACTGGATCCTGCAGCAAGGAATGCAGGTTCCTGGCCCACCGCAAGCAAGCAGGTGGCGAATCACTTTCCATAGTTGTCGTACTACAGCAACCTTCCGGTTCAAATCCCAAAGGTGCTGAAACATCGCAACCTGAAGCTGTTGGTGTTGCAAGAGAAGAACGCCTAGGGGTCAGAGTTGGACTCTGTGGACGGAACCTGCTGACGTAGTTTCCTGTTTCCTCTCCTAAAATGTACATAAGATATTAATAATCTATGGAATGTCACATGATGTTTTTAAGATATTAAACACAATAAGGCAATATGATATAACTGTAAATTTTGATAATTTCCGTTCATTTGTAGTAATATGAAATAATAAATAGTGAAATTATAAGTATTCTTGCAGTAATATCTTACCAGGCACTGGTGGCCGTGGAGAGTTTTCATTGAAGCAACGTGCTTCGTTCTGTCGAGATCCACTCATCCTATCTATTGTGGCCTTCACGTATTATTTTTCGCTCTATATTTAATTTAGGCCCACGACGTCTCCTAGTAGACATGGTTAATCCAAACCTAATGACAAAAATAATGATTTTGTACATTTTTCTTAACAAACAATTTTAGATACATATATCTGTTTTTCAGCTGTTATTTTATAAAACTTTGATATTTTCAAACATATTAATATCTTTTATAAAATAAAAAAAAGTTATTTAAAAATGACTAATTCAATAATTGTACATATATTATATATATACAATATATATAATAAATATACATATATATATATTTGTATTAATATGTTTATAGTATATAATATAATATATTTGTAATGTATTTACATTCATATAACTAACTAATAAATTTCTGCATTTTAAATTCTGCATATATCATATTTTATGTATATAAAATATTGTGCATTTGGGTATATAGTAATATACAATGGGGAAAGCATATTCTGAATTCAGAGTACTGAAACAAAAGCCCCAAGAAGCTAGGGATGCTGGATGGATCAATCTAGCCCTGCGGTGAGTCATGTTCCAATTAAGTATCGAAGGATGGTTTTCCTATCCTGAAGAGCTCCAAGGGTGGAGCCTGGACAGAAAAACTCTAGGGTACCTCCTGGTAGTCTGCGCACTGAAAGGTTCCTCTCTATATATCCCTGCGCAGAACATTTGTGTGGTATTGATCGACAAAAATTATAATGCAATCCATTGAACACTACAGTCAACCCCAAATTCAGCTCAGTTTCCAAAATAAAACTTACATCAGAGTAGAATTTTATTTTGACAGGATGGATAGATATTAATAGCTCTATAGAATAGGGTATCCTATACAAAAAAAGACTATTATATGCCTTTTGTTATGATGAACTATAGAAATATGGTTCAGCCTTTTGTTATGATGAACTATAGAAATATGATTTCATAAGGCTCGCACAACCACATCTATATCATACCTATAATATGTATATCAAGAATTAAAAGACCGTTACTAACTAATGACTCAAATTCAACAAGTGTTAATCAATAGTATATAAAATTATTATTATTATTATTATTAAATAGACTAAACTATTTTTAAGTGTTTACTACAAATTATTCTTTTTAAATGATACTATGACAAAAATATTATCACAACATTTTAACTTAGTAACACTGAACTTCTAGATTTAGATCTGAATTATGCACAATTTTTTTTTTATTAAGTCTCAAATGAAATATAAATAAACTTTTCTATCATAATTTTCTACATCAAGTAACTAAAATTCAACTAAGAATATATTTAGCTAATGAAAGATGTGAAGTATATAATGCTGGAACGCACATAATGCATATAAGTAAAATATAAAGACTCTATGGAACCATAAGAACTTGATTTCTACCTGGGCAAGAGGGAAAATATGAAATGAAAAGCTGTCATAATCAATTATTCCAGTTCAGTGCACATTTACCTGTATTAAGAGATGAAAAGAAACGTACATACCATTTTGTTAGCAGTTCTTTGGGAGTAACTCAGAATCTCTCTATAGCCTTATGAAATCTATTATGATCTGGATAATTATATTGATCTGAACCACTAGAGCTTTTTATCTTCTTTTATTATAACACAGAATGAACATATGATACCACTGCTGGCGTGTCTCTACACAAACTGAGCTAAGGCTGCGTCCTGACCAGGACTGACGCAGTAGTCAGAAAGGTTGGAGTAGGGATACAATGTCTGATCTTGTCAGATTGGAAACTGCACAATTCTGATATTTCTATTCCATGCAAAAAATATGTGGATTCTTCAACTCTATTGAAAAATCAATGTTAATACTAGAAAATCATATCATCGCTGGTTGGAAATCTGTATTCTTTTAAGTAAATATAAATTCATGTACTTTTAAACTTTCTTTTAATAAATAACTATGATTAAGTACTATTGGAAAAGCAATATTAATATTAAAAACTCTTATCATCTCTGATTAGAAAAATCATGTCCCTTCAAGCACATATAAATTTGTGAATTTTTAAACTATTATTTCTTTCAAGAAATAATTATGATTAAATGCTACTGAAAAAGCAGTATTAATATTAGAAAATCTTAATTAGAAAAAAATATGTCTGATTAGAAAAATTATGTTCTTTCAAGTAGATATAAATTTATATAACTACTCTTTTTAACTACTCTTTCTCTGAACAAATGATCATCATTAACTATTAATTATTACACATCAAATTTTTATGCTTCTCAAACAGTATGCTATATTAATTATATAAAATCATAAAAAATTTTCAAAAGTAATTAGTTATAACAGAATTAAAAATGACAGTATTTTCCAATATTGTACGTACCTTATTATTATTTAAATATTTTCAATTAAGTAATTAAAAGATAATCTTTTAAATATAAGATAATTAAAAAAATATAAATTACAGGCACTATTGTTTTAGAAATTGAATGAAAATTATTGAAGAAAAACTTAGAAACTTATTATACTAAACAAAAATTAAAATTAATTTAAAATAGCTAGAAAATATTGCCATAAAAATATTATAAAATAATAGCACTGTAACACAATAAACTAACTCAAAAAGCGAAAACAGGATGCTTCAACCACCTGTAACCACCACACACTATACTACGTACCTCAACTGAAAAACCGTTAGAATTTTATTTACGATCTTTGTTCATTTTATATTTGTAGATGGCAGTTATTTAAAAATTATTTTTTACTCTCTTTCTTTCTTAAAATATTACTATTATTTAAAAACAGAGAATATTGATCGATTGATCAATTAAAATCCTCTTTTAAATACTTCATAGATTTTTTTAAAATTACCTGTAGGGAATTTTGAAGGGAATTTTCAAGGGAATTTTCATGGGAATTTTCAAAAGAATATCGATTTAAGGCTAATACTTATGTATATTATCGACATCTCAAATTTCTAGGAAGCTAGTAATTTTTAGTTTCAATGAGTCCTTTCTACATATAAAATATTTTCTACAAATTATGATGAAATAAAAATAAATTATTATATTTCTAAAAAAAAAAGGGAATTATCTTGTTTTATAATCAATATCAAAATCAATCAATTTTATTATCAATAAGGAATAAAAAAAAAAATTTTGTGGAAACTTTTTCCATTAAAGTTAATTAATTCCATTAATTGTATAACTTTAAAAATGCTAAATTTAAAATGAAACTTCATTGTCAATGAGACGAATTCCAGCTAGATGAACTTGAAATTATCCGACCTTTTAAAAAAAAGTACTTCGTTAATCATAATCACACGAATATTTGAAATATAAATTCGAGGGTGATTCACCATTCAATGTAGGATACTTCATTAAAATCTTCAATTTTAATAATGACCGAGGTGTGAGAATAATCATTCCAGCCTATGCCTTATATACACTTCCCTAATATCTTCTTCATTTTCTACTTGCTTAATGATGTCTGTCGTTATAATTATTCGAAGCGCCGCACCGTGAGATATAATTATATGTCGAAAGAAACGCGTCGCGTGTATAATAAGGAATTATTAGATCTATAACGTCGATTTTTAGACACGGTGAGAAGATTGACTGATTTTTAATTTCGAATAAAAGCTAAATCTTTCTCCCTTTTCAATATCCACTGTTTTAATGTTCGAATGGATATAAGGATTTGAAATACATGAAGTATTCACGTTTATTCTCTTTCATTGTGTTTTATTCAGCAAAATTATATTAATATTAATGAAACTGTAAAAAAGTTACTTTCTTCCCCTTATTTCGATGATTTTAAGGAAGTCGGTCTTAGTTTCCAAAATATTCTCGAAAAATTTTCGCTATCATACAAAGGGTCCTGCCTATAGTTGTGCATCCATAGCAGTGTATGCATTGGTTGCTGGCCACCGTTTTGCAGCTGGATATAATGAACTAACTCAGGCCTGATTTCTTATTTAAGTGTACCTGTATGATATACAAAGTAGTTTATCTAAATTAATTCTTTTTTTTTTT